AACACATATAAACTTTTTCTCTATAACCGATCCAATGAAACAAACAAAACTAAATTGATTTGTTTTGACATAACATTTATAATAATGTTAGGGCTCACGTCAGTTTATACCACGCGCTTGGAAAAGGATGCCTATCTTTCCTAAAGGGATGCCTCACATTAGAAAGAGTAAGTTATTATAATTATATCATTCATTTGTGTTTTATTTTTTAATAGACATTTATTATTTGATATCAGCTTTCATTTAATGTGTATTTGCCTAAAGTTTAATGTAGTGTATGATTAAATCAATTTAAATACCCTCTGATAATTGATGCTTGTATTCATTGAATTTAAGTTTTTTGTTTTATAACAAATTATGAGGGATAACCAACACCTTCCGGATGTTCCGGGTATATAGTTACTTTACTCGAACTTTAAATAAATACACTATAATTTGAGTATCATTTGAAGCACATATTCAGTTGTCTGTAATTATAAAAATAAGGAAATTTTAATGAACTGTTTTAAAGGTGGAGATCCAGAGAGCAATGGATTCTCTGCGAAATTGTATTGATATCTGTTATCAAAAGAGAAGATCGAGTGTTACTCGAGTTGTTTGGCGTCCAAATTACAACTATTATAGTGACGGTAATTAACAGTATTTCTCTTATCTGTCGCTCATTTCTCTAACAAAAGACTATTTTTTGCTCCAAAAGAGGAAATTCACGCCGAATTGTGTTACGCAGAGGCGCTCCTAATGACTGCATTGCTTACATTCCTTGAGGACCAGAACCTAATAAATCTGGTGAAGGGGGCCTTTCGTATTAGGACCTGTTATCAATCATACAAGTGATGCACATTCTTATCATATCGCATAATATAAATGTATTGTCTCTGACTTACAAACTTTGTTTTTGCAGAGAATGTATGTATATATTGAATACGAGAACTCAATGGCAAAGTGAGACCATTAGGAAGCACTTTGAAAGTGGGGTTCGAATGGGAATCGGAACTTTCAATTTGGTTAGAAAAAGCATATATAATATAAAGCATACACCTGTGCATCAGTTTATAAATGAGTTTACATTTTCATAGATGATTTCCCACATGCCATCAAAAGTATTAAAACTACTTGAATTCGTGGGCTTTTCTGGTGATAGAGCCCAAGGATTTGCAGAGTTAGAGCGGTCCACACAAATGACTGATGGCTTGCGGTGTCCATTGGCTGCTCTTATTATGCTTGTCTACCAAACTTATATTGAACATATTTTTGGTATATTTCACTTTATATTAATAATAGATACACTTTTAAAATAATTAAATTATAAATTATATTCTTATAGGTTTAGGAGAAGGAGATCTTGAGTGTGTCGAGAATTTATTGGATTATTGCCTACAAATATATCCAAATGTATGTATTCTCACGAATTGTTATTAAATTTATAATTATATAAACTATCAGTGTAATTTTTGTTTATTTGATTGTACTGTACTATTATTTTATCTTTATTTTTAGAGCGCTTTCTTTCTATTATTTCTGGGAAGACTGGAACAACTCCGAGGAAATGTGGAAGAGGTTTGAAATTAATTCAAATGTTATTCATTAATATTAAAAGAGTATTATTTGGATATGAATTAATCCAAAGGCGGTCATCAATTTCAAGAAATGTATTGAAATTCAAGACGAATGGAAACAATTTCATAATATCTGCTATTGGGAGCTATTGTGGTGTCATTCGTGAGTTTAGCTATAAATCAATGAATTTATATATTAGTGACTAAATTGTATGACTTAATAGAGTTCGGTGTGATTGGCATAACTCCGCTAAATATGCGGATATATTGCGCAAACAGTGCAAGTGGTCTCCGGGCACCTACACCTACCAATACGCCACCTTCTTGTATATGATTATGATTGAAGAAAATCAGTTCCAACTAAAGGATCAAATCGAAGACCTTTTAAGGTTTAATGTTTTAATTGAATTTGAAATTTAATATCATTTAATGGTTGTATTTGTGGACAATTAGAACTGTTCCCAAATTGAAGATTAGATATGCGGGCAAAACAGTGCCGGCTGAGAAGTTTGCCATCACTCAGTCCGAGAAATATTTCAATCAAAACAAATCACTACTACTGCCCGCTCTCGTGAGTCTTGCTTTTATGACATTCCTTACGTTATATGACAAACAAATCTGCAATTTATAGGAATTTTTGTACATTTGGAATATATTTGCTGCAATTGGTAATTCACCAGTACTATTGAATCCTATATTAGAAAGGATTGACAAGGCTTTCGATCAGCATAAGGACGATAGAAGTAAGTAAAATACTTTTAATTTAGTATTAAGTTTAATTAGTATACCTTATATACTGTATAATATGGATTTAATGGATTGAATAAGTTATCCCAAATGCAAGTCATTAGTGAAATAGCAAAACAAATAACATAAATAGCTATTTTTAACCATAATTTTCATAGATTTGTACAAATCTTTGCGATCATTAGTTACTGATTACTGAGCTGTAGTGAATGATTTTATAAAATAATTTAGTGATACTTGAAA